TTTTTATTTATAAAGATAAGAATATTATTAATATAAATAAAATAAAATTTATTAAGAAATTCTTATAAGATCTAGTTAATATATTACTAGAATATATTTAAATAATTAATAAGTCTGAATAGAATTACTAGTTATTTAAATAATTTAAAATAAGTATAAAATATAGTTTTTTATTTATTTTCTTCTTTAATCTAAATATAGTAAAAGATCTAAATAATATCTAATTTAATATAATAACAGATCTTTGAAATATATTAAAGGATTTTTTAAATAAATAGTAAAGAATACTGGTTTTTTATAATTATTTAATTAAATACTTAATAATTTATATAAAAATATAAATTATTATTAGATTTTAAGATAAACAGCACGGGTGTAGTTACTAAAAAATTATTAATTTTTATAAATTTTTTTTTTAGAAGATTAATCAGGATTTTTTATAATATTAAGAATTTTAATTAATTTATTTAATAGAGAAAGTCCCAAGGAATCTTCTTTTTTTTTTTTTAATATTTTTAATTATTTTTATAACATAGTCCACCCCTGGATAATAAAATAATAAAATATTTATTATTATTTTATTAAAAATATTTAAGTATTTATAATAAAGACCTGATAGCTTGCTTTTTACTTTTATAAAATTTTTTAACTGGTTAAATTTATAAAAAACTTTATTAATATTTATTAGACTTATTATAAATAGCTTTATTAAATTTTTTTTTTTTTTTAATTCTTTTAAGTATACCACATGTTGGCAGAGATTATAAATAATATTAAAAAATAATTTTATTTTTATTTATATTATATTTTTATCTTTATACTCTGGATATAGAGTATAGAATTCTTAATTTAAAATATTATATTCTAGTACTTTATCTACAGGAGTCTTAATATAATATTATATTTATATATATATAATAAAATATAAAGATATATATATTTTTATAAATTTTTATTTATATTTAATAATATTTTTATTAATTTAATTACACAGGCTTCTCCCCTCTTAAATCTTTTAATATTTTAGGATTTAATAAAAATATATTTTAATTTATTTTTATTTATAAAGTTCTGGCTAATCATTCTATAAGATATATAATTAATATTAATTAAAATATTTATAAAATAAATTTCATTAACTAATTCTAATATAAAAAAGGTGTGGTAGCCTTTAAATTCTTAAATTTTTTTTTTAAATTTTTTATAATTATAATTAATTAATATATATTCTTCTAGATAATAATCCAGAGAAGTTATACTTTTTTTAAAATTAGAAATTACTAAGTAACTAGATTTTTTAATATTTAATTAATTTTACTAGCTGGATTATCTTTAAGTAAAATTTAATAAATTTTATTTTTTAAATCTTAGAAATACTACAGTAACAGATAAAGATATTTAATAATATAATATTTTAAGAATTTATAATATAAGTAGAATCCTGTTTTATAATATTTAACTAATATTTTTTTTAATATTTATTAAACTTATTGAGCAGGTCCTGTACTTATTATTATAAATTTCTAATTTATAATATTATTTATAATTATTTTTTTAAAAATATTATTTATTTAAATATTTAAGTATTCTAATTATTTTTTTAAAAATTAATTTATTTTTATAAGTTTGTCAGCTATCTGTTTAACTTATTAATAAAAATCTTTAAAATCTAATTTTTATTTAATATTTATTATCTATTAGCAGATATTATTATTTAAGATTTAATATAAAAGATTTTTTTTATTTAAATTCTTTTAATTATATTTTTTAGTCTTAATTAACAGACTGTTAACTTTTACTAAAAGATTATTAATTATTTAATTTTTTTATTTAAGAATAGATAACTTATTAATAACTTTTTTTTATTAAGCTAGATTTTTATAGATTAATTTAAAATAATTAATTAAAACTATAGCTGAGAAGGATAGGGTTTTATAATTAATTTTTATTTATAAATTAATCTTTATTTTAATTTTTTTATTTAAAAATATAAATATATACTAGATTTATTTAATTAATATATTAATAAATTATTAGTTAATTCTAATCTTTATTTATATATTATTAAGTTAATTCAGAAACTTGCTTTTATTCTTTTTATTAAAACTTATAAATATTAATAATTTTAGTTTCTTTATATTAATTAGATCTTAAACTAATACTAATATTAATACTGATATTAATATAAATAAAAGTACTATAATAAATATCTAAGAAAATAAAAATCAGATATTAATAAATTACTTAATTTATTTAAGACTAGTTCTAATTTTATTATTTATTATTATACTTTATTAGAAAATAATATATTATATTTCTATATTCTAAATTATTAGTTTTTTAATATATTTAATTAATTAATTAATAATATTAATTTAAATAACACTTCCATAGTAGCTAGAGATATTTATTAATTTATTATAATTATTATATATTACTGGTCTATTATCTAATAAATATTTTAAAAAAAAATAAATTTAAAACTGTAACAGGCTAAGAAGCTAGAAGAATTATATAAAATATAATAATTAATAAAGAAATTAAATTTATTAGAAAAAGAACTATTTAATTTACAGATAGATTAGTTTTTTTTATAGATAATTTTTCTGGGAGTTTTTCTTTATAACTCTAATAAATTTCTTTATTTATTTTAAAGATTTCTATTTTTTTTATAGGTATCTCCAGGTCAAGGTCCAGAACCAGACAGATCAGAACATAGATGTTCTGATTCCAGATGGCTGACAGGGCCTAGCCCTTTTCAGTAGATTGGGCATGTTACAATGATAATGATAAAAAATAAAAGGGAAAGAGGAAAAGAAACAAATGAGCATATATATATATAAAAAAAAGAACAAATCACAAGTAAACAGTCAACCCACCCTTTCATCCAAGGAAGGGGGAAAGGGAGAAGGGTAAAAAGGAAATGGCAAGAACGGGGTTCGAACCCGCGCCTCTTACGAGATCGCATTTCCGCCAAACGATTACCAGTCCAGTTCTAATAAACCAAACCAGGAAGAGTTCCAACGACTTAAGTGCGACGCCTTAAACCACTCGGCCATCTTGCCTATTCAGTACCTTGTTTTTCCGAAAGTTCGGATCAAGAGAGGGTTGGAGTGGGGCTGGTTGCGAGGATGAATGACATGTGATCGATGTGAATGAGAATCAATAAAAAAGATTATGACAAGAGTGGGACTCGAACCCACGCCTCTTTCGAGACTGCAATGCTATCCAGCTATTGCTGGACAAGATATTTCACTTGAGTGCAGCGCCTTAGACCACTCGGCCATCTTGCCTGTTGATATGGTTTGCTTCGCATTGTTTGTATTTTATTGGGGGTGGTGAGTGGAGGGGTGTTAGTTGTGGATGGAAATATGCTATGTTGGTTTGGTACTATGGGTTTGGAGGATAATTTCGGGAGTATGAAGTCTACAGATGGTCCTGTCTGTTCGAAATATTGATCATTTTTGTTATGTCTCCCTGGATCCTATGATGGTGTTGTTGGATGGCTATGTCGATTTTGGACAAACTAATATACATGCATGTACTTTATTTTATGTGGGCTACCATAGAAAGACACATTTTCATATCCATCACAACAGCGCTTGAGTGGATGAATAGCTCATGCAGTAAAAGACAGTCTTATTAGTTTGACTATCGATTAACACTACACTGCAGGCAGAGGTCAAAGTGGTGTTGTGTATCCAGTGCAGTTGTAGATGAAATGTGGGTGGGAAACTACTCATCTTCACGGGCAAAAGCAGGGCGACTGTTACATTCCAGTCCCGCGTACACAAATAACCTCGTGCTTTTCTCTGAAGAATGATGCCGCTTTCCACTAAGGCTGATTGTGGAGAAAATTATCAATACTGAGAGACCTCACGGAACTGACAGGTCGAGATAACAACACTGTATCTTGACTTCCGAGATATGACAGGTCCATTTGCTTCGATTCTATTTCCTTGCAGTATATGCCACAAAAGTGGACAGTTAGTCATCAAGGCAAGATGGCCGAGTGGTCTAAGGCGCTGCACTCAAGTGAATAGCTTGTCCAGTTCAACTGGATGAATTGCAGTCTCGAAAGAGGCGTGGGTTCGAGTCCCACTCTTGTCATATCTTTTTGCTCCTATTTTTGCATCCACATGCACCCCGTATCGAGCGCGTGCGAGGAAACATTGGCTAGGGCCATAGCAAATCTAACTATAGCACCGGGGAAGACATCCGGCAGCTGTCCTAGCTTTGAACATACCGAATATGACCGTGGCATCCTGAAAGCGGACGACGGGCGAGGATGCACCATGCCGAGACGGAGTAGGGGGAAAGCTAAGTTTGGTGTCGGGGAGCCTACGCAGCCAAGTCTAAGCTCAAAATTGTCTAGATCCAGAAGATCAGCACCGTTGGCGAGACGAAGCTGGATGGGATGGGCGGCCGGGTCCACCAAATCTCTGGGCTAAAAAGGATTTGGGGGTCGGACCCGCCCCGCTAAGTGGATGATCGTGCGGTGGGATTAATCAATAAGCATCAGCAGGTTGGGAAGCCAGTATATTGGGACTCCTGCTCCTGGGGAGGAAGTGAAGCTTTTTGATGCATCAAGTTGTTTCCCGAAGGATACGAGGTGATGGTGGCAGTCGTTATAGTTGCTGCAGAACCTAAATGCAGGCATGGGGGGAAGAAGGGAGAGTAGATTGGCCAGCGTGGGCTGCGTGGCACAAGCAGATAGAGTGCAGCACCCTGGTTGCTTTTACGTTGACCGGGATCATATCGATGCAGGCGCCCAGGCCACGGCGACCTGAAACGCCAGACCAGGTTGGTGACCGGGATGAAGATGCAACTAGCGTGAGAGTCAAACCAGCCCAGATGATCTGCGAATTATTCGTAGTTCGTGTGAAATATAGGGGATATCTGACTTATGGCGGGCGAGAGGATAAGACAGAGAGAGGCTTGAGAGGCCTGTCCAGACCAGATAGAACCCCTCCCGGGCGAAACCCGTATGGGCAATTTGGATGGTGCAGGAAGTGTGTGGTGATTCTGGCCCCAACCGCCACTTCATCAGCACCAAGGCTGGGCAGCGCATTCCCATTGGTATGACTGGCCAAGTGGTCGCGCGGTCGGTCAATCAAAAACGTGGCGGCCACGAGCTATAGCCACGCACAACCTCAGAAAAGGGTTTCAAGGAGGTCTGACATGGGCCAGGCCAGATGTACTATGTACTATGTAGTCAGAGGAATACTAGTTCTGGGGCCACTCGGTTGGCAGGTAGGGGCCATTCAGATTGGGATGGGGGTTGAAGCACGAGGCGGAAAGGATAGAGAAGACCAAATACCAGACAGATGGTATTGACGGGAAGAAAGTTTGGAAGAGGCGGAGAAGAGACAAAGAACAAGCAAAGGAAGAAGCAAAGAGGCGCACAGGGGATTTAAGGGAAAAGCAAACTCTCGGTCGGCAGCAGTGGGGAAGGAAACAAGGTGCTTCGATGGATGTTCCTTGCCTGGTGCAGGTTTAGTAGAGTTCTGGTATGTTGGTAAAATTTTTAAAAAAAAAAAAAAATTAAGAAGAAAAAAACAAAAGTACGACCGACAAGGCTGGCAAACACACAAACTATTGCTGCATCAGGGGAGATAGATAGTACAGGCTTACAGCAGTCCATCTGCTTGCCTGCAGGTGCAGATTTTCCAGACCTCTTCGGCGCATCATCCCTTCTCGCGAATGTCACCCACGGCGTCCACCACTTTTAACTTAGTTAGTGAAGCTGCTGCTCTCCACCGCAGGCCCAGTCTTTTCTGTTTGACTTGCTCCATCCAGGCCGTCTCGTCTCCCATTCGCATTTCGCCCTTGCGACTCCGTAGTCTACTCCGTATCTCTCTTTCCACTTGCCGGCGCGCCTTTCCCTCGTGGGCCCAAGCGGCACTTCTCCTGGGTTTAAACCATCCCCTTTTCTGTAGTCTCCATCAGAATAACTCCATCTCATTATTAACTAAGTGAAGGAGTGGTAAGTAAGTATCTTCACTTGGGTAAATTTTTTTGAGTAGTTCTTATTTTTTCTTTTCTTTTTTTTTTTATAAACTATTATTTTCTTTTTCTATTATTTGGTAGTATTAATTATCCTCCACTCCGTATACCCTAATCCATTTCCTCACCGCCGCTATTTCTCTCTCTTTTTGTTTCATATTATCCCCTTCCACATCTCTTCTTGCTATTCAAGATAAGTCTATTTTGTAGAGTTTTCAAACTGGTCAGAGCTTGTAAATATACACCCGTGTCTTACCGTGTAGCCGGTTCCAAGCCACGAAGGTTTTCCATCCATCGCTTCATCTTGGATTTCTCCAGACTTTCGACTTCGCTTACCCAGTGCCGACCCAAGAACCCCTCTTGTTGAACCCCATATTTTAATCCAGTCACCTGGGCCATTACGCCTCGTATTGGGGACAGCTCATCTTCCCTCTATCGCTTCGTCTCGCTTTCTCTCTCCTCTTTCATACATTTTTCTTTCCCCCTTTCCCTCCTCTTGTTTCTGTTTGCATTGGAGGTTTCTGCATTGTCGTATTCCTTCTGGCTGGGTTCCAGAACGAAAGTTAATACCGTGAAGAAGCAAAACAAGACCAAACTCAAAAAGAACAAAGAATAAAATAAAAAAGTAAGTAGAAAAAAAACCCAAGAATTAAAGGGAAAAAAAAGAAAAGAAGAAAACATCAGACCTCAATCTCCATCACCATCATCCTTATTTGCACAGTCCCTGGGCCCCATCCTGGTTGGTTTCGTCAGCAGGGCCAACTGGGCGAGTAAGGGAACTTTCTGCGCGGTAGTTTTAGTGTACAGGCGACCGACTACTTTCGGCCCGCCTTGCTGGTCAGAAAAGTAACTAACTTAACTCATCATCTTCTCCGTCTTAGGGGCTGCCCCCGTTCCTCTCTTACCTTTTGGCTACTGCTGCTGCTGCTGCTGCTGCTGCTGTGCTGCCGCTGCTTGCTACTTACTACTCGGAATTCCATCCCATATTCTATTTGCTCTTTTCCGCCCCCCTTCTCCCTCTCACGCTCTCGCGCTCTCTCTCTCTCGCTTCCCCCCCCCCCGACCAGGCCTCCGTTTGGTTGTCCTCGTCGGGACTTTTCGTACTTGTCTTCCATCCAAAACTCTCTCTACCTCTTTCTTCCCTTTTACTTCCTGCCATCATCGCTCTTCATTGGGGTATGTTTCACTCCTCCAAAAGTCTGCTATCTATCTCCTTTGCGAATCGGGAAAATGAGCCCCTCCGCCCACGTTCCCCCCGTCTCAATAGACCTCTGCACTCTTCCGCAAATTATTTCTTCCTAACTAACACCTGTCTCATCCTGTCTAGGTCTGCATGTTCATACCTCATCTTCATCGCCTATAAAGTTTCTATCCTTCTCTCTAACGACCTCCCTCAATCAATTCGCCCCCCCCCATCCCCTACTCCCCCTCGACCACTTTCTCTCCTCTCTCGAATCGCCCCTGCGATAATTCTCTCGACTCCCACCCCTCGCATTCCATCTCCCAACGTCGAGAGTACTGTGGTTTCAGTGGGATGTTGCTATTGGTGACCGAGAACAAGATCTCCAACGTCTGTGGTTACACAACTGTCTAAATGGGAAACTCGCAAGGGAAACAGGTGGCCGCCACCGATGAGTGTACGTATCGGGTTGGCAGACAATAATAGGCGGCGGAGGGGCTGACAGTGGCGCAGTGAACTTGAATCAGTTTCGTTTGTTGCGGGTGGTTGGCAAGGGTGCGTTCGGCAAGGTTCGCATCGTGGAGAAGAAAGACACCGGGTTGACGTTCGCGCTGAAATATATTCGGAAGGAAGAAGGTATGTGGCTGCCGATCGAGGGCCTCGATGCACGCTGACATTAGATGCTCGTTTCTTGGATAGTTGTCCGGTCGGAAAGCGTACGAAATATCATCCGTGAACGGCGGATGCTCGAGCACCTCAACCATGCCTTCCTTTGCAACTTGAGATACAGCTTCCAAGACATTGAATATATGTGCGTCCTGCAATAGCTCTCCCAACACGACATCCCCATCATCCGTCCGCAGTCACTGATAATTGAGAAGTTACATTGTGGTGGATTTGATGAATGGCGGTGACCTCCGCTTTCACATCTCGCGGAAATGTTTCACGGAGGAGGCAGTGAGGTTCTGGATAGCTGAGCTGGGTTGCGCTCTGAGGTACATTCACTCGCAGGGAATTATCCATCGTGACGTCAAGCCGGACAATATTCTGCTTGACTCGGAGGGGCATGTTCATTTGGCCGATTTTGTAAGTCTGCCGGTCGCATGCGATCTGATCATTCGAAACTGACCTCCGCGGGACAGAACGTCGCCTCTGACTTTCGACCCGGCAAACCTCTCACAAGTAAATCGGGAACACTGGCGTATCTCGCTCCGGAAGTGTATGAAGGAGGCGGATACTATTGCGAAGTTGATTGGTGGTCACTTGGAGTTACATTCTACGAGTGTATCTACAACAAGGTATGTCGCTTCATTTTTTGACAGTTTGGTCCATTGCTGACTCCTGTAGCGCCCGTTCGAAGGTCGGAGCCAGGACGTGCTCAGCGAAAACATCAAAAAGGCGCAACCAAAGTACTACGTCACCAACCCCGCGGTCTCCGTTCCCTGCCTCCGAGCAATGTCGGCGTTTATGGAAAGAGATCGGTCGAAGCGAATTGGTGCGATCAGCTTTGAGAGCTTCACCTCGCATATGTTTTTCGCCGACCTCGACTTTGTTGCCCTGGAGGCGAAGGAAATCCCGCCCGTGTTCCGTCCGTCCAGCGACAAGACCAACTTTGACGCCACATATGACTTGGAGGAACTACTCTTGGAGGAGGCGCCGCTTGAGGCCAGAGCTCGCCGGCAAAAACCGAGAGCCGAGTTGCGGGAGGATGCGACGGCCAAGGAAATCCGCGAGGACGAACTGCACCGTCTCATTGAGACGATGTTCGAGCCCTTCGATTATACCAAGGTGAACTACGTAGGGTACGTTGGTCTCCAAGCAAACGGAGATGGGGATGCCGTGCTAACCAACATCAGCAACGCTGCGGATGCGATTGCAGCATCAACGTAAGTTCTCCTTGCCTATCTTGCCTTGTGGCTTTAGCTGACCCTGGCTAGAAACCCGGAAGAATGCCTGCCGATCCACCAAACGCAGTCGTCAACGCATTCCCGACAAGTCTCACAGCCCGACCTCTCCAGAAACTCGCCTCCTCTCCGAAACGATGGCTCTGTCAGTCACTTGACTCAGCCTGACACCCCGTCCCCTCTCAGCGAAACCCCCACCTCGCAAGCCTCGCTACCTCCTCCACCCCCGCCGCCGGCCCCGCCCTTCCACCGTCCCTTGCCACCGACTGCCGTGCGCCCGCGGGGCGCGACCCGGAAACAAAGCAAGGGCGGAGGGGTACAGATGGTGTTGGAAGAAGCGGGTAGCTGGAGCGAGCTTGCGGATCATAGCTCCACCCTGCCTGCCGAAGGCTACGATACCGGGTCAGTCAAAGGGAAGGGCTCCAATAGCGGCATGCTCGCCTTCCTCAGCAGGAAGAAGGGGCGCGATAGGAGCCCCAAGCCCCAGGAGCCCGGTGTGCTGGGTAAAGAAGGCGCCCGGCAGATTATCAGCTGAAGGGCTGGCATTATACCCGGAGGAGGAACGCATCGCTATGACTTGACCACTGTTGGACAGTTCGATAGAGATTTTTTATTCTTTGCCCGTTGAGAAGCTCGCGCTTTCTAATACGAGATAGCATGTCGCCTATCTGGCCGCCTTTCATTCAGGGCGTTGACATGAGAATCGCACACGACTGGGCCACCGAGGTTCGACTCGGACAACACGCAGCCCCGATCAAAAGCTTGCTTTTGGGGAAGACCCATAATTATCAGGCAAAATCCAACCATGCCAGAGTGATTTGTTCATTCGTTTTTGTTTGCTGGCACCGGCCTTGACCGTGAGAAGCCGCGTTGCAGGCCGAAGCCGACATCTGACGGCGTCTTGGTATGACAGCATATCCATCATTCTCAGTCGTTTCTCACCGTCCCGAATTCTTCTTTATGGGACTGGTTTTGTCATTGGTTTCCCTGGATCCAGCGCAGATCAGGTTCTTTCTTTGCACTTCTATTTCCTTGATGGTGTTGGCTCCGGAGTTGTACAGATGGGAGTGGCATATGACGATTTCTAATTCATCTATCCTTGTGACATACCAACGATGGTCGAGATGTACCGTTTTCTTCTCTAATTGTTTGATTGTGTTGATTTCACCCCATTTGATATCTCTGTGGCGTTTTGCATACCCGGTGAATAGTCGCGGCCCCAACGTGGAATGTACCAGGCATCATGGAGACGGGGCCGGACCGGGAATTACCCTTGTAACTAATGACGTTTCTCCTTTCATTATACCTATAGACCTGAATGGAGCATTGTGATCGGCGATGTGCCTGGATATTAGCCTCGATGTTAGTGTGCAGAGTTGACAGTAGGATCCCGATGCTAAGCGTACTGCATTCAAAGATGCAAGAAGGTTTGTCTTTGGGTTTAGCAGACTGGATCTTCGTTGCGTGTGATCGATCTAGTACCTTCATTGCCTCGGCTGCCTACTGCCTACTGCCTACGGAGTATATCTGGCATCTCCTTCATCGGAACATATGATCTGACCTGAGTTTTAGGTTCTATATCATCCGCATATTGGGTGCAAGTCTCCGAGCACCTGCAGACGTTATTGATTCGACCTGTCATGATCGTAGCAGTTAATACTATGCACTGGACATTTATATATTGGCTATTGGTGATGATGTCATTCAAAGTTTTCAGTAATATACTTCTCTAATTGAGGCTGTAAATTGTCAGACACCCCTGTCTAAGCCTGCCAGACATATTATTGAGACAGCATCGTGACTTAGGTCCATTGGTGAGTGAGTCTATCCCATAGCAAAAGATATTGACTTGCCTGGTTGGGAAATTAATGCCTCAGGCATGAACTACTTTCCAGGCCAGTCAACTACCATCTGTGATATTTCGTACATATGGCATAGAAAGAGCCCCGATTCCATCCTCCCGTTTTAGTTCACCGACTGTCAGTGTGCTCTGGTGCTTGCAGACGCTCTACACTGTTCTCCGGTCAGAACATTGGCAGTGACATTGCGACATGCACAGTTCAGTTCACCCCAATACCAACACCACCACTACCACTTTCACCAAGTCAAACCCTATTCTCGCTTAGCAACTCCTCCCATGCCATTTAACTTCCTTGATCTCAAAGCGGCGTAACCATATCCCATCCCTCCACACACCTACAATGCTACCTGAGACATACACACCAATCATCTACAATCCACCAACCATCAGCCAAGACCAAAGGATCATGCTAACTAGCCCGACAATCCCCCCTTTATATAAGAGCCCCATCAACAACGAAATCTCTACCAGAGATATTTCGCTCCACCCTCAATCGCAAGGCAAGATGCAATGTCAGCCACCGAAACAGTCAGTAAAGCCACGACCAGCGCTGTGTCCATTGCTGGCTGCTCAACCGCATACAACAAAGGTCCATATACGGGAATATCTTTACCATGTATATCGTTGATGATGGGGCCTGGGCCGTGGCGCGGACGATGTACTTCGGACATTGGTGGTCAGGAGATATGGATTGTTAGTAGCCTGCGGGAGGATTTCGTAGGAGGGGTATATGCCGTGATTCGGTTGGGTGGATGAATTACTATATACCATGTATCTGCTTTTCATATGTTTTAGGGGTGATATGCTTAATTTAGATGTAGATAGTCTCGGTATTTTGTCCAAGCAATTGGCATACGATGGGGTATTGGATGGCTAGCTGGGAAGACTTGACTGGGGGCCGTAATAGTATATTATATGACCCGAGATGAGTACTGTTATACTGGTATACTAGGGTTCAGCGGTTCTTACTTCGTATAAAAATTGGACATATGTATGAGCTATTTGTAGATCTTCAGAGGATATTATAAGACTAGCCTTGAACTACATTGTAAGAGTATTTACAATATTTCCGCCTTCACTGCTATATCAGCATGAGATTCCTATCATCGAAGATGTGATTACTATAGAGACCGATACATCAGCCATAATAACCCTGGGTATGATGTTGGCAACAGCAGACGAGTGAGCTGCCGAGTTTATGCCCTTCTTCATGTATATTTTAGACCCTCTTATAGTGTTAGAATGTACTGCATAGTCATTTGACAAACAGGTGACTTGCATAAGTGACAGTAAGGAGTGCCACGTGTGAGACATGAACATTGCCCTACTAGCTGTGCTAAACAGCATGCATCAATATCACAATCCATACCCATCTACAGTCCAACACAATAATACTCATTATGCACAGCATAGAATACCATACCCTAACTATATACAAAAAGCGTACAATACTATATACATCATCCTAACTCCTACCAACCCTAATCACTCACTCCCTTCCTCCTTCCCCCCATCACCCTCCCCATCCGCACCTTCATCTCCGTCCTCCACAACAATCACCACCTCCTCCTCCCCATCCTGCTCCTCCTCATCATCCTCTTTAACCCCCTCCTCCCCACCAACCTCATTCTTCCAACTCCCCGCATAATGATGACTAACAAAATACTCCCCCTGCCCCTGCGGCATCCCGCCCTGCAACGCCGCAAAGCTCGCCTGCGGCAACACAAGCACATCCCCGAGCAACACCCCGCCTTCCCCAATCCCCTCAATCTCCTCCTTACCCACCCCGCGTCCCACCTCCTCACTAATCGTCTCCAATAACGCAACAGTAATAGCCTGCGGCCCCGTCACATCCACCACATCCGGAATCATCTCCATCGTCACCTCGCCCACAGTGACATTATTCTCCCTCGCAAGCCCCTCCAACCTTCCCGCTACATACTCAATCGCATGATATATATGTCCATTCCCGGGTGTAGACATCACCGTCCACGACGCGAACTGCCATCCGTCGAACTCGATCCCCACGACCACGTTCGCCGTCGGCGGGATCGGCCATTGCGATATAGGCACTTCGCAGGATACGTCCAGGTCGGACCAGATCCCGCCGTCGATGTAGAGGATTAGGAGTCTCAGGAGGTCGGCGCGGAGGATGGGCACCGAGAGGGAGGTGTATAGGTCGGCGATTTCGGGCCAGATGGGGCGGAAGTTCGTTTCCACGTACGCGAGGCTGGATGTTTCGGTGAGGATTTCGTGCCGTAGGTGTGGGTTTAGGGTTGTCCAGGTTGAGATCCAGGATTCGGCTTGCGTGGTGAGGCCTTTTGTGCCGGTTTTTTGCCACAGTTTGTGGGGGATGGAGTGGCTGGTTGGTTGGGGGTGGGTGTGCGTGTGGGTTTTGGGAGGGTGGGTTGTTGTGGATGTGGATGTGGATGTGGTGGTGTGGGTGGTGATTGTTGCGAGGGTGGTGGTTGGGAATAGGGTTGTTGGGTCTTCGGTGGTGGTGGTTATTGGGGGTGGTTGTTGTGGTGGTAGGTGTATTTCTTGTATCTCTGCTGCCGCTGGACTTGGGGTTGGTACGATGGTGGATGAGAGTGGTACGACGGGTTGGCGGATGAGTCGGTGGAAGAGGTAGAGGTTTAGGAAGACGAGGGAGAAGATGAGGATGGCCGTAGGTCGGGTTAACATGGTGGACATTATGATGTTGTTTAGTTTAGTTGTGGTTGTGGTAGTGGTTGGTCGTGATCGTGGTAAATGTCTATTGATGCATCGCAGGATAGCCGTCCAATGAATGAATGAATGAATGTAGTAGTTAATAAACCAAGTAGGAAATCTGCACAAAACAATATCGGAAATCTAGTGTACTGTATTGATGGAAAGAATGAAGAAATAATGAATGACTAGGTGAGTTACACCTGAAATCTGCAGGGTCCACGCCCGTCTTAAAGGCGTTCAGCTGCATTCTAAGAAAGGAGAATTAGCCCTGTCCCCGACTAAACATGGCCAGTCAGATGGACCTACAGACGCCACGGATGGACCCTCCGGACCCTCTCCGCTGAGATGGGGCGATGGCAGCCGATTGGCTTCCCGCTCTGACTTAGGGTTCCAGAGTCGATGTGATTGTTGAGTTCACCGCGTTGCCCAGAACCCTGTTGCAAGCTTTTTCTCTTTCAAGTAAAAGAATGATGGGCGTTTTGCTGTGCAGGTTGGTTGTGTTTGGGGGCTGGAAAGCAGGCTCGGACTAGTGGGGATAGTGTAGTTTTACTTTTTCTGCTGATGAATACCATGTCCGGATGGAAGTCTTGGTATTCACTAGTTGTGATGTATTTGCTAGATATTGGAATGTGAACACGAAAGAAACAAAGGATTTCTATTTCCCTAAATTCAACATTTCTAATGTATGTCAAAGCAGTTATAAGTGGTAGGACAGGCAGCCGGTGACATCCGCATGTAACACAGCAGCAGTCACGTTGCGGCTGTACCCTGTTGTAGTATCGACCGGACATCCAACCAACACTGAGGGTAGAATGATAAGCTGCTGATCTGCCAATCTAAGCAGCCAGTCTGTATTGAGAAATGGGGGCGTCGGGTCAGATAAGTTAGTCTGGAGCGGTGTCTTGTCTTGACTTTTGAGAGTCGTGGCCGGATTGGGTGGAGTCTATTTTTAGCTAAGTTTGAATTGGGTTGGGTTGCCTGATGGGAGACAGAACCTACACAGTTACTACTGAAATCTTCCTTGCAGTAGTTTATCGGTGCCTTTATTGAGGACTTACAGACTGAGTGTGAATGTTGACAGAAATTCTTCAAGCACAATGACGAGTCTCTTGCCTCCCCCCTAAGCAAATTGTACAATTCACACATCACAAGGCAAAGCCCAGACCCTGTAGATCTAACCAGAGTCTAAGACAGTCTGACATGACTTTGCTCTGATTGGTTCAAGACATTTACTGTCTCCATCGCAGCGGTAGCTAAGAACCACTGTATCCGGTGATCAGCGGGCAAGAGTGTCCACCGCGCAGGGCACGGGTTACTGAGAAAAGGCGAGTGTCTGGTTCGGGAGATTCCTGGTGGGGGGCCAATAAATACGAGGGTTTCATTTCCCTGAGATAGATGGCCTGGTGGGGGCCGCTTGCGGCGAAGGGAGATTAATTCGTGGATAGGTTGCCGTTTGGGGCCGGGAGTTGACCTATGTACTGACTGGGGACGATTGGTATGCATCTGCTTGGCATATGGCCGCTGTCAAAACTGCTTATGCTTGGGGGCTTCATGTTTCGTCTGTTTCAGAATGCAATTCGAAGCAGCAGCTTCAATCCTTCGATGGGGGCTATTATGGCTGACTCTCAGTTTGCTGACGCCCCTCTTGCCGTGTTGAGCGGTGCGGCTGGGTTCTGTCCGCCTTGCCAAACGACGGGCAGTTCACTACCGCCTTGGACAGGTGACAACGAGATGTCAATGGGAAGTGTCAGAGGCTGTTGGAAAATAACTATTCACATATATCGTAGCAGTGGCCTTCAGTCGGGAGTTTTGATATGAGATTCGTGGTTCATGGAAGAAAACAACAGTACAACCCAGCCATGATCATGCTTGAAATGCACCCGATGTTCGTACCAGGACCATGATTGTAGTCCAAGTAGGTGATTTGTGCTATCAACAAATATTTGAGATCGTCGAATATGCCACTCATATCTGTTCTCGAAGCGTTGATTGAATCTAAGTGAAATCGCAGCTGATAGAAAGAAGGAAAGCAGCATCCAGGCAGCAAGGCTACATCAGGCGGGAGATCAGGCACCAATAAAAGACAAGCTTTTCCCAACCAATCAAAGAAGGCACTACCGGCGGGGCAGACCCACTGCCATAAACAGAAACGGGAGATGAGAGTGACACTCATTTCCCAGTTCACAGTGATACCGGGCTTGACAATGACTCGCTCATTTCGGTTACTATTTGATGGTCGGTCTGATGTAACTACCGATTTCACTTTGCTGAGGCGACAATTTGTCCCGTCCGTCTAATCTAATCCGACCGGAGCCCCGATTTGGGGTGTATTACCACGTGGTGATGTTGGCTAGGCGCAAATGAATAAATTCTCGTCTGCTTCGTCCGACTTGGGCTACGTGAACAATGAATAGTTCTGTAGCACTGGAATTGCAAAAATGGATAACTCTGACTAAAGGGGCATCGTTGTCATCTCAAAAAATTCACGGATAAAGACCGAGCGATTCTAACCACAATGCTGACCCTGTCTACCATGAGGCTAAAGTTATCATTGGCAACTCCGGCCGAAGATTCATGTCGTAATCCTGTCATTGAGACTCTACAGTTCTCCCTTGGATTTCCAAGCAGTGTGTGTGTGTGTGTGTGTGTGTGTGTGTGTGTGTGTGTGTGTGTGTGTCATAATAAGCCACACAAACGATGTGTTCTCCAGGGAGGATATGATTTGATGATTCATTCAACGCAAACATGATTAGACTAACGAGCTGGTATACACTATAGTCTCTATTATCTCCAGGTAGACCCCTCTGTATTACCCACTCTACATATCAGCACTATCCGACTCAGGTATGAACAACTAGGAAAGCCTGGTGGTAATAAATACAACCGCACTTATTATGCTGTCCGGAAAGAACCTGATCCGGGTCAATGAGAAAGATTGCCATGGCAAGGCTGGAAGAGCGGGAATCTCCAGTTACCTCTGGGAAAAGTAATCCTTGTCTACAAGTGGCAGGGGTGAATGCCGCTAAGTCTCTAGCCTCATGACCACCGCGTACGACACTCACCCCGCCTATTAAAGTCCTGCAGCGACTCCTTCCATAGTGTATTCCCTTCCATCTTTTATTCTCGACTACCGATCAATCTACAGCGTCTTTCTGTTTGCATTTGTCCCTAATTATGGAGCAGGTCCCGCTCGTTGGCAGCAATGTTACTACGGCTTGCGATTTCCCGGGTGCTTGTGTACGTGCGATCATAGCCTCTGCAGAGTAAGAAATACTAACCCCGCTGTGTGCACAGTGCCTTGCCCTGGCTACAATGTTAGGGCAGGACAAAGTTTCCTTTCCCGACACTGCTGCTTATGAAGCGTCCCAGGGATCGTACTTTGCCCAGCAGAATAGCGAGCTTCAGCCTTCGTGCGTGGTTTTTCCAGACTCAGCCGATGACGTATCCATTGTCATCACCAGCATATTAGCAATCTCGTCTGGTGTACCTGATTACCAGAAAGCAGGCTGCCAGTTTGCGATTCGATCTGGCGGTCACTATTCCTTCGAAGGCGCGTCTAACAGCGAACATGGCGTCACAATAGATATGCGCGCTCTCAACACCATTGAGGTGCAGGAAGCTCCAACCGAATATAAGGAAGATGAGGATGCACAGGAGAAGGAGCCACAGCACACCGTCTTTGTCGGAGCAGGTGCCACATGGGGCGAAGTCTATGCACTGCTCGATCCGTTGGGCCTCTCGGTGGCAGGAGGACGCGCTGCACAGGTTGGGGTTGGCGGACTGACGCTTGGAGGCGGCATCTCGTACTTCTCACCGCGGTACGGGTGGACGTGCGACAGCTTGGTCGGTGCAGAGGTTGTCTTAGCTAACGGGACGATTGTATATTTGGATGAGGCACAACATCCGGAGTGGCTGGCAGCTCTACGCGGGGGCGGTACCAACTTTGGGGTTGTCACAGGTTTCAATCTGCGGACTTTCCCGCAGGGCCCTATATACGGAGGGTCCATCTACCACAGCACTGAGACTATTGACGCCCAATTACGCGCCTTCGCTGAGCTGGCTGACCCCAAAGCTGATCCAAGCAGCTACGACGAGTATGCTTCGTTGATCACAAGTTTTGGATTCGCTGGAGGCCAGGGGGCAGCTATCGTGAACAGTGTAGTGTATACGGGGGAGCTGGAGCCAGAAGATGACAGGAAGCTGTCACCGCCACCTGTGTATAAAGCGCTCTTCGACATCCCCCAGTTGTTCAGCACAGTGCGCGTGGCACCCATGCATGAGGTGGCCATCGAGCAAGGTTCGTTTTCACAGAGCGGGAAGCGGTAAGAGGATCTTTCTTCATCTAATCTTATAGAGCTAATGACAGTCAAAAAGACAACTGAGTGTAGTCGCAACGCATGACGTGACCCTTCCTATGTTAAATGCAACCTACCTCAGGTGGAACACCAGCCTGACATCTGTACAAGAAGTCCCAGGCATCGTATGGTCAATCTCCCTCGAGCCACTACCTCCGGCTATCTATGCACGGGCACCCCCCGGTCATAATGCTATGGGGCTGTCATCATCCGAACGCCACGAGCGATCACTGATGGTGACCTTACTGAGCGCCACTTGGGATAACGCGGCTGATGATACCCGGGTGGAGCAAGCCGCCAAAGCGCTTTTTTCAGGCATTGAAGCCGATGCGCGTGCATTGAATGCACATCACCCTTTTATCTATCTGAATTATGCAGCGAAATGGCAGGATCCGATCGCTAGTTATGGCACTGAAAGCATTAAGCGGTTGCAACGCATCAGCCGCGAGGTTGATCCGGCGGGAATCTTCCAAATTATGGTTCCTGGAGGATTTAAGATACCTCAGTGAAACGTATCAGGTTACTCCTTACTTACCGGATGTCTTTAGTACAGACTTTAATTCAAATACGCTTTAGAGTTCGTTCAACTCAAGTGAACCTCTAAGTAGGTAATATGTAAGCGCTAACCAACTGTTTCAAAATACCAAACCCGCAAGCCATCGCTACGGCTGCGAATTCTTTACTGTAAACGCCCCTGCTCAGCCAATTAAGTCAGCTCGAACACGACATTGACCCTGGAGCCCGACATGGACTCCAATAATATTCACTATATGATTCTAGTCATAGAGATAACTGGTACATACGACCACAGGGTGTGGAAAACAGGGCTTCCCGTCCGCTCAGCCGTACTTAAGCCACACGCCGGGAGGTTAGTAGTTGGGTGGGTGACCACCAGCGAATCCCTTCTGTTGTATGTTTTTGATCCTCATTTTTTTTGTGATTCATTGAATCTAGTAGTGCCTTAAGCATTGTAGTCCTTGGAAGAACATCATTCGCTGTGACAGAAGTAGTTCTTACGGGGTCAGGACCCTGAAGCCCGAATTTGAAGCGATGCGGTGGAGATTTTTGCCCTAATCAACGCGGCGACTCTTAACTCTATGCTAACAACGAAGAGGTTAACGCCTTCTAAAATATCCCTGTGTTGATGGGCAAACTATCCCCCAGGGCACCCTGTTCCCCAAGGCCCCCAAGGTCCCATTTCTATGAATCTCCAGTCGTGGTAGTCTTGACGGCGAGAAGACCAGGATTTGCATCAGAGCCACAATCGACTTCATTGTTCCGATACCATAGCCAAAAAGGAATACGCGATTTGAATTATGAAACTCAGACTGAATCTGGACTGCTGGTATTGGAGAAACTGTTCTATACTATATTAGAATTACTGTCCCTGCCAAGTACATATATACACATCGCCGATAATAGTATATGCCACCACAGCTTCGTAAAAGGTTTAGACAAGAAAGATGTGTCAGGCTTGACAATTGACCCATTGTTGACCAGTGGTAGGAAGAAGGGCCACAGTGGAGCTCGGAGTATCCGCTGATGAGGGGTGCGATAGTTGTAATGATCACTGTGGTGCGTTAAGAGTTTGGCGTCCGTTCTCCCAGGCACTTTAGACTTGCTCGTGCTGGTTTGTATGTTCGGCACCGCCAGTCGCGGTACTAGTCCCCATCAACGGCTCCATATGTTCAAGCCGATCTGGGTTGAAGGTGGTCTGGGGTCATTTGGAAACCCAGTCAGTCGAATAACCATCAAGCGTTTGTGTTAAGGCATCTTACGCGGGCGTATAACAGGATCCCGGATTCTAGATCGTGATTGGGGGTGCGGTTTTGGGAGAGAAAAGTGTGCAGAAGCTCGACAAGATTCGGCTGAGAGGTACGGTTCGATTGCCGATGGAATGATCGATTGGTTACCGATTGAGCCGGAGGAGTAGATTCACTGGGACGGAGGGTAGGAGGATTGCTTTGGTGAGTTTCGGGGTTGTCATGACGGTTCTGGTCTAGAGGGAGTCAACAGCTGGGGGTTAGTTAGCTGTATAAAGATGGGAGTTGAGCGGGTTAGATGTTTACTTGGCAGTCTTTGGTGTCGGAAGTGTCGGATTATGCAACACACCCCAGGAACGCAGGCGACCAATAAAGCGAGTAGGCCTATAATTGCTTCCGCTGATAAGGACATTCTTGTTAGAAGCGTCAGTTTCGATGTTGAAGATGGGAAAAAAACAGATGCATTGGGGTTGACGCCTTTTATCATGAAGGATTCTACAGACTCTACAGAAGCCGCGAAAACCGTGTATTGATCTCAAATCCAGAGGAAACGAAGGTCCCATCAGCCCTGGACCAAGATCCGTCGAAAATGGAGTCGCACTTCTGGCTTGAGCCAATTGGCAGGACACAGCATGTGGTGGCTGAGTGAGCATTTGCCCAAGGAAGAACTATGATTGGTGCAGACTAGAAGTGCGGCCCACCTCGATGCATGCCGTGAAGTATACAGCCCGAGTAAGCTAAGGCTGTCGGTTCCTGACCAGCAGTCCACCACAAGGGGGCTTGACCAGGGGCAGGCGGGAATATAAAAAGGCTCTGATTCTCTGATCAAATTGTTAGCCATTGGGTTTTCTATCCAACCCTAAATTTCAATCCTAGCCTTCTATCCCTCTTGCAATCTGAAAATGAGTCTGTCTGACCATAAAGACACCATCCAAAGGCTCTACGTCGACGAGGACCTAACTCTCGACGAGCTGATGGACTCCATGGAAAGGAATTTTGGCATTCGTGCGAGGTATGTCTTCTATCTCAGACCCATTTCATCACCGCCGTACCCCCTGACATTGATCGGTTGGATAGCAAGGACACCTACAAACGCTATTTCAAGAAATGGCAACTACGTAAAAACAACAATCACGACTTCTACATCTGGGCCAACCATCGCATTGAAAAGCGCAGTCATGCGAACCCCAAGAAGAAGACCCAGATCCTCTTGAACGGAAAAGCGATCGATAAGAAAACTATCCAGAAGAATATCCCGCGGCAGGTGTCGACTTATGATCAAGCACGCGCAGCAGGTCAGTCATCTAAACCCAGCTGATATAGGTATCCGAAAAATAGTGACATTCTCTAGCTGCAAGTCCAGCAACACCTCAAGGCTACAGCATCGTAACGCCTGCTGGTTCGACCTCAAGCCAGCCCCAAGACACTTCGGCGAGACCAAGCGAGCCCCCATCGTCGAGCCACCCTGCATCACTTGGAAGTGACATAACAGACAATGAAGAGCTGACCGAAATTAAATTGCTTGCTGAAGTCATGCAAGACTGTGGGTCTTTCCTCTCTCTATGGGGCCAAATGAATGTTTCTACTTCCCGGAGAAATCTGGCTGAACTACATACTTCGGTTGCTGAGCGGATCATTACGGATACTTGGGATCTCCAATCACATCCCCGTCATACAACTCGTCTACTGCCGGTTCTAGGATTCGACATCCTGCACTCCTCATACAAGGATGACTTTGAACGAGTTCAGCTACAGCTACGGAATCTACCGCAGGATATCTATGCTGATACCGTCCGTACTGCGAGGTTCATCGCATCGGCAAAAGGCTGCGTCAATGCGGCAGCAGCCCTGTTTGACAATGAGCCCAATGTAGATTCTCGTGATTCCAAGGGACAGACATGCCTTGGGATAGCGGTGCTTCATAATCACCCAGCGATGGTTTCATTTCTCATCGCCCGAGGAGCAAATGTCAATAACAGACGCCGCGACGGGCAAACGGTGTGGACTCAGATTTGTATATCGGAAGAGCATGAAACGGTGTCTCAGCTTCTGATCAACGCCGGCGCCGATGTGAACACCACGGTTAATTCCGTCAATGGTCTTTATATCGCTGCCGCTGGTGGTCATATCGATGACGTCCAACGTCTGCTTCGACGGGGGATGAACCCATCCATTCAAACACCTTTCTTGTGGGCCCCGCTAGTAAGTTTTAACATCCGAGACGGTGCCCGTCTTATTGCATAAAAGACTAAGAACTGGCCTGAATATTTTAGCATTGGGCTAGATCGATCGAGGTCGTGAAGGCTCTTGTTGAAGCGGGTGCGGATGTTAACACGCTTTCTGATTCTGGGGCGACACCACTTGCAACTATTGGAAAAGACCCTGGAGACATCAGGGATTACCTCATACAGCACGGTGCTGTACTTAAACCTCGGCGCGCCACCAAATCTCGGAAAAGAATGCCATCCTCCATGCCGTTTTCGTCCACCACTTCTGGGTCAAACGAAGAACAAACCAAACCAACTAGTATGGGCGCTAGGCTTCCCCAGTCTTTGGATAGTACAGCTATTGTACCTCCAATCCACCCATCTCCAATAATAGCTTCCTCTCCCGCCTCGTCTAATCACAGTCCACCCTTCCGATATCCTGATATTTCCTCGAGTATGTGGGTTGCTGACGGTGCTCCTTATCTCGCTTCGCCAAGGGTGAATATGAACCCACCTTCCATTACTTCTCGGCCTCAGATAGCGATGCCTGGAGTCGATAACGATTTGCTTCTCAATGACCCTCCAATGCCCTTGCCGCGCTGGTGAATGAAACCTAGTACTGTCGACTGGAGCCCCGGTAACTACCCCAGATCCCTCAAGATGCAGCGATCCTTCCGGATTCCTGCAACATCGCGATTGGAGCATTAATATTAAGCAGCTCCTATTTCGGTATTTAGTTTAGTCGATTCATGTATTTGGATATTGTCATTTCCGCAGATTCTCATAAACAAAAGAGACCTCTTTTTGACCGCAACAAGTCATGGACTCCGTAATCTCCGGTCAGCGTCTACATACTCATGTCTGGTTTTCAGATTTCGTTTGTTGAGAGATTTCCGGATTGAGTGACAGTGTTGATATTTCTCACTGTTGGGGGTGGCGAGGTTGGCGAGAACCTCTCGCACCCCTGCGTCTTCGGGCATAAAGTGTGTGGGCTGAAAGGCAACGCAAATTCGGATTATCAGGTTAGGGTTAGAACCGTGATGGGGCGTTTTAGGCAGCAACTATGGCTCGCATTGTCTGTGGCTATGCTACCTGACCGCCAAAGCGCCGGTGTTCTGAGTGGCTGACCAGAATGGCTGACCTTAGAACCAATCGCTGTTAAGAATTTCCGGTCAGCCTATCTTGAGGTTCCCACAGGAGTGAACGGGTGATCAGGCTCACCTTGAGGTTTGAGCAAGTCGCGCAACGGTAAAGCGGCAGCCAGCGTACTTCTATCCGTGTCTAAGCTCGCCTTCCATCATCCTGGAATGCTGGAAGCCCCAGCTAGTATGGTAGAACGCCCGGAGCCACGGCTATAGAAATCCTCATCCCCTCTTGCTTTTCTCAAGCCTCTTTCACGTACAGCAATAATTGATTTTTAAGTCAAGCTAGCTCTTGATCATGTTAACTGATAATATTGATTCGTTTGATCTGATACCAGAAAACCAATCGCGCTCCTGCAGAGTACTTCGACATCATGTGGACCTGAACATCCCCTACGAGATGCAGGATCAATGCCGTACGCCCTAGTAAAAGCCGGCTATATCGGGTACATGGATTCTACTACTACTACTACTGAACACCCACATATACCGTGTGGCACCACATGCGTGAGCTTGTACCTGGCTCTTAGACCAATCATGAGAGGCCGTTTCTCTCCTGCACCAATATAACCTGCCAAACCGTAGGTAGTTCTCGGCGGGACCGCGAGAAGTCTTGGGCGGGACTGCGAGATCACAGGAGCACGATATGCTCCCTCACGGATATTGAGATAGAAAGAATCTATGAGGCCCAGCCTCTATACTCGCCAGTGCAATGCTGAGGATATCTTCAGACAGGTATATAAACATCGGCTTGCTACAATGATTGATGTTATCACACAGACAGATCACACAGACTCACTCGCAGTCGATTTCTCTCATTTTCATGAAGTCCACTCAGCTGGCAGGCAGCATCGCTGCTGCCGGGCTTGTTGCCAGCGCACAGGCGATGTCGCTTGCGGATGTCTGCACCGTCTCGCACGTGCAGTCCTCCCTGCCTCTGGATGCCTTTACTGGACTAGAGATCAAGACCAGCTCAGTGACCGCCAGCCCCGTCTACAACGTCTCCGTGAACGACCAGACCTTCTACCCGGATGGCACCTTCGACTATTGCAACGTAACCTTTGCCTACTCGCACGCGGGCCGTGACGACTCGATTCTGCTGGGCATCTGGCTGCCCGCCCCCGATGCCTACCAGAATCGGTGGCTGTCCACGGGCGGTGGTGGCTTCGCCATCAACTTGGAGGGGGACTTGATGCCTGCCGGTCTCCTCTACGGTGCTGCCGCCGGTATCACAGATGGAGGGTTCGGAGCCTTCACAACCGACCTGGACGCTGTGTTCCCCAGCGCTAACGGCACGATCAACTGGGATGCGATCTACAACTTCGGCTACCAGTCTCACCATGAACTCAGCGTTATCGGCAAGGCCTTCACCAAGAATTTCTTCAACACTACCGCGAGCAGTAACAAGCTCTACTCCTACTACATGGGCTGCTCCGAAGGCGGCCGCGAGGGCTGGAGCCAGGTGCAACGGTTCCCCGAGGAGTGGGATGGTGCTATTATCGGAGCGCCGGCGATCCGCTACGGCCAGCAGCAGGTCAACCACCTCTTCCCCAACGTGGTTGAACAGACGCTCGGCTACTATCCCCCGCCCTGTGAACTGGAGAAGATCATGAACCTGACGATAGCTGCCTGTGACGAGCTGGACGGTAGAAAGGACGGCGTCGTCGCGCGGACTGACCTCTGCCAGCTGCACTTTGAACTCAACTCCACCATCGGGGAGCCTTACTACTGCGCCGCCGAGACCACCAGCGAGAATCTGAAGAAGCGATCCGCCCAAGCCAAGCGCCTGACTGTTTCCAACACCACCCCAGCCCAGAACGGCACGGTGAGTGCTAAGGGCGCCGAGGCCGCCGCCACGATGCTCAAGGGTCTCCACACTCTAGATGGCAAGCGGGCCTACATCTGGTTCCAGATCACCTCTGCCTTCAGTGACGCCGAGACCCAGTACAACAGCTACACCGACAGCTATGAGCTCGACATCGACGCGCTCAGCGGCGAGTGGGTCGCCCGTTTCCTGGAACTGGTCGAAGCTGATAACCTCTCGAGCCTGGATAACGTCACCTACGACACCCTCCGCGACTGGATGGAGCTGGGCTGGCGCCGTTATGGTGATTCCCTGCAGACCACCTACCCCGATCTGAGCGCCTTTAAGGAGGCTGGTGGTAAGATCATCCACTACCACGGCGAGTCGGACCCCAGTATCCCGACCGGATCCTCCGTTCATTACCACGAGTCCGTCCGCAAGATCATGTATCCGGATCTTAGCTACAACCAGAGCACGGACGCCATGGCTAGCTTCTACCGCCTGTACCTGGTCCCTGGCGCCAGCCACTGCGCGACCAACGCCTATGAGCCGGGACCCTGGCCCCAGGATAACATGGCGGTGATGATTGACTGGGTTGAGAACGGAGTGGTGCCCGTTACCTTGAACGCGACTTACCTCTCGGGCGAGGAGAAGGGTAGCAATGCCCAGATCTGCGCCTGGCCCCTCCGGCCCTTGTGGAAGAACAATGGCACGGTCATGGAATGTGTGTACGACCAGGCCTCGATTGACACCTGGCAGTATGACTTTAATGCATACAGCCTGCCTCTTTACTAGACAGACTGGCACCAGTTGGATTGTTCCGCAATTTGATATGCTAGCCTGGGATGGAGTAGACCGAAGTTCTCTGTTCGGAACAGTCGGCCTAGAGAAGGGGAAGCAACGGCAAGCGACGTGGTGTCGTTGTAATTATCATTTAATTCGGTACTTATCTGTATTTAAGTAGTAATTTAAGTGGCCCAACAGACCAGCGCAAGATATTTTCCATAACCCATAAATTACGCCTTCACTTGGCCCGATCAAACGACATAACGACGTCCCTCTCCTTAAAGTACCCTCTGCGGCGCACAAACTCCGAAACCTTCGCAACAGATGTCCCCATTTTCCGCAACTTCCACACCTCCTGCGCCTTCAGACACTCTCTAAAATGCTCTATCAAACCCTCATGCGAATAAACCCTATCACGCAAGACCAAGCCATCAGCCCCAAAGCGCATTCCCTTTGTAAGACCTTCTTCCAGGGAAACCTGACACCCAGTGCAGCAAACACCGTGCTCGATGCGCCCACTAGCCCGATCAAGATAAGGTAAGGTAGTCGTCGCCATGAATGGCAAGTTGGAATATGATTTAGCTGCAGTCCAAGTAGCTTCTTCATCACTAGTAGGCTTAGACCCAACTACCCGGATAAGATCGTCCATAGTCACTAGTTGTCTCCTTCCCTTGCTCGATACCTCCTGCATGGAGTAGATTCCCGGGATGGTCCGAAGAATCGGAAGAGACTTGAGTAAGCTATATGTCTTCGAAGCTGTCTTACACTTCGACGAAATAAACCATTTCGCATCAGCGTAAGGCACGAGCCGGGGCAGGCGATCCTTCTGGATACATGAAAAGCAGCAGCGGAGGAGGGTCGGGAGGAAGAGGAAGCCTCCGAATGAGCTGCCGCAGAGGAGACAGTCGCGCGTACAGAGCGCAGTGAACAGCTCGGTAAGGGTGAATTGGTTTGCTACTTTGGTTCTCAAAAGTGCGCAGAATGCGTCGAGTGCGTGTGTTGTTGTCTCCCGGTAGAAGCGGCTAGTGCTGACGCTTTGTTGGGCGCGGCGGCTGACTTGGCGGAATCGAATGAGGGATTCGATGTCGAGGTAGAGACAGATTTCGTGGATGAGTTCTAGATGTAGGACATCTAGCTGGCCTAGGCTTGTGGAGGGTGCTTTGAGGGGTTGGGTTATAGTGCTGCGGACGGGTTCGTGGGCGCGGCGGTTTATGTGGATGACTGCCAGGTCGAAGTCGCGGCGGTGGTAGGTGGTGAGCTCGATGATCTCATCTTCGTGCGGATCATGTTGAGAAGTGGAAGTTTGTAATTTTTGGGGGTTCATGTTGATCCTTTCTGTTGGGGATGTAGCAGAGTCTGGGTCCTTGAGGAAAGGAAGGAGGAAAGGAAGAAGATAGAATGAAGGAGAGGATAGTCCTACGACACGTGGTCCAGTTCAGTTAAATGCTCAATTAAGTCCATTCCATTGATAGCACGTAAACGATGTTTGACTTATCATGAAGGTGGTGGTGAGGGGAATCTGAAAGCTATCCTCCCCTATAGTTCCTCCAGCGCATACGTATACGATGCTTAGATGAGGAAAGATCACAATGAGCAGCATATCAACGTTCCAATAGCTCTTTCCTAATTTCCAAAGTAGACTAAAAGCCTTGCACTATACATAGCCCTGGGACTCCCCAAACCTTCCGAAATATTAAACCTCAACGGACGAACCAAAACCAAGTCAATAGAGATTCCTAGAACACACTTGAAGTCAGCACATATCATGATAGCCAAGCAATACAAATGGGGAAGCCATATACATACCATTTCTCATTATTCAGTAGCCATAATCTCGTCGCCTTCCTGCACTTCCTTGTTCTCAACGTAGGTCGTCGGCGCACCGGGAGGTACGAGGTGGCGCCGGCAATAATTTGGCGAGGTTTTTCCTAACGCCTTTATGGAGGGGCTGCACCTGACATTCGTTCCCTGGCGTTCCTTACACTGAATAAAGTCCATCTCCTTCTGACAGCCGCAGGAGAACGCAATTTGTAAATTTGTGCACATGTTTATAGGTTCGTTCTGGGAGGATGTGAGGGTTGATTGGCCAAAGTGTGATGTGGACGTGACGCGAAGATTGAGTGGTACTTAAGTTGGTTGTAGGTGTTTGATTGAGATTGGGGGTGTCAAGGGTAGTTGTGTGTTTGTTGGTAGAGGGTAGTGCTTGGTTGATGGTAGTGATTGGTGGATAGTATTTGTGGATGAGAGGGTACCGTAGGAGAGAGGTAGGAGGCGGAGTAGAGTACTTGAAGTCAAGGAGGAAGAGAGGCAGAAGCTACGAGAAGGATATATGTAGGTTGAGGAGAAGGAAGAGTTAAGGGACAGAGGTTTCAGCTTAAATAGCCCTGGCGTCTGTATCAGTTTGGAATGATTTGTGAGTCTCGTGTGAGGAATGTCTGCTGTTTAAATATTGAGATAGGATAGTTCAACCCGATCATGGGGATCTGATCCAATCAGCTGCCAAGTCGACGTATATCTGAACCCTGGGTTGCTTTTCCTTCGGTCCTGCTTGATATGCAGGAACCCTGATCAAGATGCTATGTCTGTCCCTCAGCTGTGGAATCTGAGCTTAGGGTAAGAGCCTTTCTCAGTAAACCTGTCTTCAACTCTAAGCTGCCTGAGAGTGATCCAAATGAGGTGGTGTGGCCAATTGATTGATCCAGTAGAAAATGAGGTCGATTTGTATGGGCTGAAATATCTATCGTAAACCCGTGCAGGTGTTGGTGACTTGTATACTCGGAACAATATGATACGTCAGCAATTTTCTCGCAGTGTGGTAAGACCTAGCCTATAGCTTGCGAAGCACACTAATTTAATGCTGGAAATATTTGCGGTGAGGAAATCAGCACAACGAAAGAAACAAGAATGATTGATGAAGAGTAAACCGTAGTAGCGGTGTCTTCAGTTGCGGAGTACCTCAGTATAGTCATCAATAATGTCACCGTGGTAAGAAGTTTTAGGGCTTGAAAGAGCCTCCGTAGCAGATCTTCGAGATGGATGGTTGAATGGAGTAGCTCAAATCTGAGTCATACTTATCGATTTTCCAGAACTGGAAAGAATTCCTGATAGGAATGACAAGCACTAACAATCGATTAGCTAGGAAGATCTTAGGGTACCCTTCCAGGTAATGACAGCTACCGACGGCAGATACATCGGGTCCAATAGTAGTGTTTGGATATTAGAGCTATGACTAACGAAGGGTAAATTGAAGGAGACATGAGCATACAACGTTCTTAATCCGACTCATTCGTACAAATCAAAGTCGTGCGATAAGATGAAGATCTTACCTCGCGGTCGTCATACAGCCTCTGACCTAGACTTTCAGATCTGGCCCAATCCATCCGCTCGGTTTTGAAATTTACGAGTTTAGTTGGGACATCGACTATAAACTGGCGCTTATCATATCGTTTGCCTGACAAATGGACTTGTTATACGGCTCTTCACATTAGGACTGTGATCCGCTTGGGTCTGAATAACCTTCCTCCTTCTTCCTAAGCTTAGTCACCAATACTTCCATCCCAATCAACCCAGTCAAACGTGTTCAGCAGCTCTAAATGCGGATGTTGCGGGAGCTCATCATCCAGGAACGGTGCCACTGACTGCAACTGCTCAGCTCCAGGGGGATCGGGATCCAATATCCGGTCTAGAGACCGACTCAGGATCCTCCGTATGGAACATACCATGCTCTTGCAGGAAGCCTCAGTCTCGATCCAGTCCAGGCATACCACCAGAAGGCTAAGGTTCTGAATTATTGGTGACCGTGGAAGGCGTATTTGATAGCTTTGCGGGTGGGTGGCTTGTCGCAGGAGCTCCAGACAGAGGATGCCGCTTGCTGGAATTGCGTACGACATGGTCTTGTAGTTGTGATAGACACAAAAATAAATGAGATAAATGTTTCGAGTTGTATCATGGATACAGGGAACCCAATTACGTACCAGCCACTCAAAGTCAGCGTACAGACCAACAAATCGGTCTTTTTTCCTCCAGAAGATTAAGGTCAAGTGCAGCATTTCATGACTCACTTCGACAAGGTCTTGCCCGGTGACGATATTGTGTCGCTTCAACAGCCGTTCTAAGAGAAATAGGTTCATGAGAAATTCCAAGCGCGTGAGGATCTGTGCATAGAGGACATATCCGGGAACATTAGTGTTGCCGAGCTCAGACTTCGAAAATTGAATCACCGATGGAAGTTGCATGTATGTATCATGGGTACGTTGCTTCAAGTCTCTAATACCAATGTTAGAAGGTATGTGCGTGGCTTGGAATAACGCACATGGCTCTATTGACGGATCCATCAGCCAGTTTATCCATTGAACTTTCTAAAACCTCCAAGACCTCATGTCGGATACGGGCAAAACTCGTGCGCGATCGTAAGATTGTTGTAGAGTAGATCTGGTTGTTTTTGTTCCATCCGCAGGAGTCTAACTGCGCAGCGGCAGACGGAAGATCGCTATATAATAGGCCATCGTCACTCAGATCTAGTGGCAGTCTGGTAGATGAATATGCCTGACTCAAGAGAGGGGGTCGCCCAGTGAAAGTCGAAATGACCTTGTCAATGTTGAAAACAGCGGCATAGAGCCTCCTTTTCAGTTCGTATGGGAGACTCACAGTTTCTGCCTCTGTTGCAAGCTCGCGATGAAGTCCGAGAGAAGTGGTCACGGCGACTAGCTCGCCATGCTGTGTCCAGTGGGAGAAACCTTACTTTGGTTAGACCAGAGGCATCTTTAGTCTGTAATGTCACGTACTCTTGTCCCCGCTCAGAATGCCCTCCAGAATATTATGCTTGTACAACAGATACACAAAAAGAAGGTTGATGGAGCCAAGCTGTTTGCACAGATCAATGCATAACGATGCACAGCGTTTGAAGTGCGCCATCAATTGTTTGGCGTTGGTAACAGATGAATGTGCCTGACAATAATCGGCAACCGCTTGACTCTCCGACGACGAGGAGATTGCTCCGCAAGCCCAGTAGGTATACAAAACGCCAAGAGTTTCCCATCGCATCTGTGCCCCTGTAAAGGAGGCCAGCCAAGCCTGCGGATCCTCTTTATTTTGTAGCGGTGTTTTGCTATTTCGGGTGAGAATCGCAGCAGTTCCCAGCATATCTTCTTCCGATCGTCGTCGTAGTGCCGGCCGGAAAGCATTCCACATTCTTTCTGATGAATGATGCCCTGCCAGCCGGACCCAGCCATCATTTGGATTGATGTGGCTTGAGAAGAGCATGGAGCAGTTGCGCTCCTCCGGTACATGGCTCAGAATACGAGCGCCGAGCTGCACAAGTGGTGTGTCAACTTGGGGATCTGGAGCCAAGTCTCGTCGTATTCCTGAAGATTTGTTGGCATCCTCCAACTCGAAGCAATCTCCATGTTCCACAAATACCGAGGTGAAGCTCGTTGGTCCCAGGTATTCGTTCGAGCTTTCGATAAGGGGCGTGCTCCGGTCCTCAACCCCGTGGTTCTCTGCGGATGTTGCATGCACCTCAGGATAGGAAACACCTGATCCTACAAGTAACTGCGGAGTTTCTCCCGAGGTCGTGCTTCTCGTGCTATTTGACTGTGACAGGTAGATGCATTCGATTGAATGCTTCTGGCATCGTTGACATGTCGGCTGATTGTGGTCACAAGCTAGTTTCCGTCTGCGACAGGCCTCACAGGCAGCCCTGCGACCGTTGCGCCGCCGCAGAGAAGGCATAGCACCGAAGGTTACCAGATAGCACCGAGACAAATCAAAGAACTTCCACAGCTTCGGTGTGCGGAGTAGATAATGCTAGTCGTTAGTGCCGGAAAGCCACTCGGCGTTCGGGATGACCATAATCATTCCCGATTGGCTCTGCTCCGATAAGCCTCTCCGTAAGGCCTCAAGATCCTGGTAATCAAGCTGGTCATTGGGTGGTGCTTCATTCGTCTCTGGGTTCCTATTAATCATTTCGTACAGCCGAAAGCCGATTCCGATATCCGTACCTTACGGCCAAACAGCATATATCCATGTATTCGACTCGACACCGACATGCCATTCCAATATCCCCAACGATCTATTCACGACAATGGCAAGATCCAAACTCCAGGTACATATACATGGCAATTCAGATGATGCATTATGCGTGTTCTCCAATGGGGATATGATCTCAGGCGAGATCAGTATTCATATAGAGAAAAATAACCACTACTCCGATCTGGCGATCATGCTTGAAGGTAAAGTCCTTACATCGGCTATTAGAGAGACACTGCTAATTCTTTTGCTTAATACAGGAACAACCACAGTATCCATGCAGCATGAAGTAGGAGTCAAACTTCAGAGCACCCAGACTTTTCTGCGTCTCAGCCAGAAGACGCGAGTCGATTCTCCTGGGACTTTTCCATTTACATTTGTCATCCCATCAGCTCTGCCCACTGAATCATGCAGCCATGTCGTGTCCGATCCACTCGTGCAATATGCGCATACAGCGCTGCCTCCTTCTCTTGGGGGGAAACCTCCATGTGCCACAAGAAACAACAAAACCGATATTCTGACACCGAATGCGGTACAAATTCGCTACTGCATCAAGGCAACTCTCCAAGCTTGTCAGCAAGACCAGGAACCGGTGCTCAGCACTTTTAGAGAGATCTACATCATTCCCACACCTTCGTCAGAGAGGCCACCCCCGGCCTTCACTCCTGCAATCAATAACTCGGATAAGCCTTTTCAACTGGCTCTGGAAAAGCATGAATCCCCAATGAAAGCCCAAATCGTACGTAACATCTTCCGGCGAAAAGAAGGCCGCCTCGTCAGTGAGATCCTGCAGGCAGGACCGCTTGCCATGCACCTTCACCAACAACGACCTACAGAGGCTACTATTCCCCTTCGACTTCGGTACTATTCAGCCTCGGGAGTTCACCCTCGCTTACACAATTTGACTATTTCCATACGTGCATCGACATCTTTTGGTCTGTCTCCTAGCCCGGATATCTCTTATCAAACCCTAAGTCACCAATCCAGCGTTTACACGAAGACTCTGCAAATCGCCGCCC